GAAGAATGTGTCAAAAACGTAACAGCGTTACGTTTGGACAAGCCGATATGGAAAAAAATAATGTTTTTTGATTTTTTGTCTTCAATATCGAGGTTGAGAAGAAATGTCATATGTACCATTTTGTAGAGCAAGTCAAGCTCTATCGATTGGTATATGACTCAATTTGAACCGAGGAAAAATTTGAAGGAAAAAATTCAGCGAAACTAAAAGTTGAATTTTTTGCATTTTTTGATGGTAGTTTTTAGGGTATGTCAGTTTTATCAGTCCTAGCCAACTATAGGTAGATCTTTAAGCCGTAATATTTTGGATTTATATATGGTACACTAAGGCCTAAATTCCTATGAGGTCAGATTCAAAATCAGTTGACCCCCATGTTTTCGGAATTTTGATATTTTCATGGAACGACTCTTAAAATCATAGTTTGATTCATTCTTTCTTTTTTTATGTCTCACATTCAATGTATGACTTTTCTTGTTAAAATTCATATCTATTAATATAAAATTTGTTTTTCTGCATACTTGTGGATACCTCTTATGAGCTTTGAAATGCGTTGTGTTTTGTTTTTTTGTCACGTAATTACTATGAAGAATGTTTGATGTTACGTTATTCATTTTCAATATCATATGGTTAAAGAGATTTACTTTCTTCGAGTTTCAACTAAAATGCAATTTTTTTATAAGAAAGAGAGTCAATATGAAATAAATGCGGAAGCCTCGGATTTAAATCCGAGTGTTGCGTGTGCTTCAAAGAGCGAAAAAGCTATTCCTTAACTCAAAAACTTGAGTTCAAATTTTTCATGTTTTATATACCGTTTTGTAGCTAGTAAAATTCTCTATAGAGTGACATATAATAGTTGGGTTTTTGTTTGGTTATCAGAGGAAAATTGTTTTACGAAAATTGGTATGGGTTACTGTTTACATGGAAAACTATGGGGAAATAAATCTTTATGCGATAATTCATCAATGATTTGAGAAACCATTCTTATCTTCAAATATATCAAAACCTTTTTAGAAAGTTAACAGGTGAACGATATTCATTCGAGCTATGCACAAATGCTTATTCATTTTGCTTTGCGCTAAGTCAATAAGTTGAAGTTTTTTTATTATCTTGTAATTTAATAATGAACTATATCATTAGAGTTACAAAACAAACGAAACAATATATGAAATTTTTCGTTACATTAATTAATCTGCAGTTTCCAAACTAATATTTTAAAGAATTTATTTTAAACATCCTATTTTTCTCTATTATATTCACTTTTCGTCAAGCCACTAGAGATGTCGTACTAACATTAATTAATTCTAATCCTAATGTTAATACGACACACAAATTGTGTTTTATAATTTAGTAGTTATGCGAAAGAAGATGGACATGTCTCATTCACATGTAAAAAATTCTGAACAGCATCAATTAGAATATTGACAACATAAAGATTCTTTAAAAGAGAATGAATGAAGATAAAAGACCTTTAAAGGGGCGTATGTCAACTATCAATAAACCTATGAAAGAAGAAAGTATCTCATCCAGAAAACTGCTAGTAATATTGTTCATGCATTTCATTGTACAAAGAAGTGGCAAAAGCATTACAAAGTTTATGGTTTTCATTAATTCATGGGGAGTGCATGGTGATATATTTCCTCTTGATAATGTATATTAAGAGCTCCTTTTAAAAATGACCATTAAAAAAAACCGGCAAAATAAAACACGAAAATGATATGCCATCTAGACGATAGTTTCATTTTAACCTTAGATATGGATAGATGGACTTCAGACCTATAGTTCAAGGTACAACGGAAATAATTTTTGTCTTATATTCTAACTTTTAACAACTAGAATCATGTGTTAACATGCGCCAATAACAAGAAATTTTGCTCAATTATTACTAGGTATTCGAAATTTTATGATGATAATAGCTTAACATCTCGATACATATGTAATGAAATGTCAGAAAGCATGTTGTATCATGAACTATAGGTTTATCCCTAGTATTGTATATCAAATGAAGAATCTGATTGAGATAAGCATTTTTGTTGATGGAACCAAATTTTTCTTCTTGAAAAAATAAAAGGTTTGAGCAGCTCCAATTGTTTTGTAGTTTTAATAAGTGGACTTTGCCGCTAATGTGGAGAGCACTCTACATGACAAAAATATTTTGATGTTTCTTTTTGTTGTTGGTGAGAGAGAACCGTAACAGTTTAAATATGTTCCTTATTCAGTTTTTCGAGAATCATATTTTGACTAAAGTGCTATTCGAGAGTCATATAGCCTACTAGATTAAGTAAAAAAGTCTTTTTTTTCTTTTTGTCACCATATGAGTAGGTTTACTATATCGAAATTCTCACAAAACTGATTTATGCACGAAAACATCAAATACTGATCATACTCGAAGTTTTTATTCATTCGGGCAGAAAAATGCTTATCTCAATGAGACTTTTCTTTTGATATGAGAGAGCAGGAAATTCGTTGAAAAAATCCGAAGATCGGTGTGAAATCAAACACTCCATCCCCATACAGTTTGAATAAATATGTGATTTTTTGAACATATTTATTACAGTAGTGACTGCGAAATCTCAGCTTCAATCACCGTCACGTACGATCACTTATGATGATGATCATGAATCTGGGCTTAACGCAGAACACTACTAGTGAATAATTATACCATATGTGAAAAATGTAACATGTTTAGTTTGTGCATGATTAAAGTCTTTTGTATGTTCTTTTGTCATTAAATATATAGGTTGTCAGTAAAATTATTATAAAGACAATTTATAAGTGTCAATATCACTTTGTAAAGTATATACATGTCGCATAATGAAAGTTTTTTCGTACAATAAATACAGTTCGTACTTAAAATCGTAAGAAGTCGATCGATGATATTTTATAGATTTATGCACATTCAGAAGATTCTCTTGAATGTCTTGTTACAGAATGTTTTCTTTTGGCTGAGAACTTCTTAAGACATGGTAGTGAAAACAGACGATTTTTTATATACTTCTTCCACGCAAATAATAATAATGATAGAGCTATAATCACTGTAAAGATTAGAAATAGTCCACCCATTGATGGAATATCTAGTGCAGTAGACATAGTAGTTGAAGACTGTGGACAAGTGCTTGATTGAAACCATTTTTGTTGCAAAATATCAAGAGTACCTGATTCGCGTAGCCTTAGTATTTCTATATCTAAAGTTTGTGCATAGTTCCATCCTAAAGGTGTTACAATACCAAATTGACTTTGATCAAAAGGTTCACCAACTAAAGTTAAATTACAATATATATTATTCGTCACATATCGACCAACACCACTATCGATAAAACAGACATCAATGATATTTGCTAATAAAGCATCGTATGTTGCTTGTTTTGATGATGGTAATGGATGAAAATTGTATGCACCACGAGAGATTTGTTGTAAATAAAACCTTTCACTAGCTGTACCTACACGAATTCCAATACGATTAAATGGTATCTTCCCAGCTTTGAGATCATCAAGTCCCGAAATAGGATACTGTATTTTTTGTATTGTTAAATCAGATGCCAAGTTTGCAGTATATGATGCCACTAATACAATACTTAATACATATAAACCACCAGTTAATAAACGGCCAGCAGCTGTACTCGCGTTAAACTCTACACCATATCCGAGAATATTTCCAAAACAGTACCACCAACTCATGGCACATAGAGAAATTATTGACATATTCTGTAATGCTTCATTTGTTTCTCGTTCTAACAAACAGATTATAATAGCAGCAATAATAGTAATACCTATGCTCAATAACCAAAGATTGTGTGAAAATGGTTTCATGAATCCAAACAAGTCGTAACTAACAGAAGGTGCATTTCGCATAATAATGTATAGAGAATTATCAAATATTGATTCTGAAAAACCGACTATCTTTCGTCTTTCAGAAGTAACCGTTACATCACCTATTACTATATCATAGTCACCATTTGCTACTTTATTAATTATTTGATTATATGTTAGATTTGATTGTGCCAATCGAATATCTGGAATAAATCCTAAGTCAGTTTGTAATTGAGAAATAAGATCAGGCACAAAACCAGTCAGCGGTGGTGTAGTTTGTCCCGAGGAATCTGTTGCATTACCAACTATTGTGAATGGAAGTACTGAAATTACACCAATTCGTAAAGTTACACCATTAAGTGTTGCAATACTACCAGGAATTGTTAATGAATTACCTGGCCAGATAATCACATGTGCTTCTGAATACGGTTTCCAACCTCCATTTTCATTATAGGTCAATACTGGCACAAAAACTGTACCGTTTGAACCAGGTTGAGCGTTTTGTGCAAGATAATATGCACCACCTATTCGATCAGTTGTATTAACACTAAATTTGATAGAACCTGATACACCAAGAAAACTCATATTATTAATTATATCAAGTAATGAATTCAAATTGCGAAAACGACGATAAAAACAAAATGGAGAATCATCAAGTGGCATACATGAGGAAGAATTATTAGTTGTTGTTGAACAAAGTTGTTCTAATGCTTGAATCAATAACCAAGTGGTGTCGAATGCAAATAGCGCATAATTATTTATATTTATTAATCCAGGAAACGTTTCACTCTCATATTGTTGCCATATATTACAGGCTGCATTTAACAATGTTGCATTAATTGGGGCACCAACAGTACTTGCTCCTGCAGGTTCTACAGTAAGCATTCCAATTAATTGTTGAGAAAATTTTGGATTGAAAGAGTTTAATGGAATGCTTGAACTTAGTATCCAAGTAAATTTTGGACCAAGTACATTAGAATCAAGTGCATTTTGTAAAATTAAAGGTGTAAAAGTCGAAGTCGCCCATAATACAACAATTCGGGATGAACTACTGATTAAAATGCTACTCAAATTACCTTGAATACTATGTGTTTCAATATCAAATACCACCATTGTCGCTACTTTTAAATCATTGCTAGTTAACGCATCTTTTATTGCATTTGCACCACCAATTCCAAATTGATCGTTTTGATAAATAACTATGCATGAAGTCCAATTAAATCGCATGAGTAGTTTTGCAATGGCTTTTGCAGCGGCTCTATCTGAAGGAACTAAACGATAAAAAACAGGATATGTATTTCGATCAGACAAAGAAGGATCAGTTGCAGCATATGATATAGCAGGAATACCGACTTTTGCAGCAAATTCAGCTATAATAGGAGTTTCTCTTGATAATGATGGACCCACAATACCAAAAATATTAGAACTAGATAATGCTTGACATACACCACTAACAGCAGTAATTGGACTGCCACCAGTTTGCACGGTTTGCCATCCTATGTATTTTCCTTCAATTGTTATATTATATTGTTGAGAAAGTAAAACTGCTGCCTTGAACATAGCACGAGAATGAACTGATAAAGCTGTAGAATAAGATGTATTTTCTGCATCTTTAAACAGACCTAGTAGTTGAACATTCGATGTGTTTGGTATGGGCCAAGTTGCTGTTAGATAATTGACGTGAAATTGCATAATTATAAAATATAGCAACAACCATTGAAAATTGCAGAACAGTAGCATGATTGTTTGAGTATTTTACAAGTAAGATAGTTCAACCAACTATAAAAAAAACAGCAAAGTGTACTAAAATTTAAACGAGATAGCAAGCTAATATGTATTGTTAAACTAAATATTTTATTGATAGCTGATTCATCATTATCGAGAAAAGTAGAGTAAAAGACGCATCATTCCGTTGAATGCTATCTTACAATATGATATACAAAATATATCTGATCCAACATTGGTCTTTGAAAATATGTGAGTACACAACAAGTAAAACAATGGATGAAAAAAGCAGAAGATATGATGTTCTAGAACAAACTCTACTGAGAAAGCGCCTCAAAAATCTATTTCGGTCGGTCGTTCACCATTTCTTCATCCTGGTATTTGCTTATTTATCTACTTTCATTGTAATTCATTCTCGTTCTTTTATTGATTTGTTTCTCTACATCGCTATTACGGAACATACGATTTTTGTGATGTCTTTATGCGTCCACAGTTGAACTTTTTTAGATCGTATTTCTTGAATAAAATCAGCAATGAACGCTATATATATACATATATATATGGGGGTGACAAGCTT